GGTTATTGTAAGAATTTATAAGACTAGATCTAATGAGTTCCATGCGCTTATCAATGAAACATATTTACCTAATGCATCACAGAAAGCGGTAGACACTTAGAAATGACCAAGATTATTGCACAATCAGAATCAATTCCCTATTATATGGAAAATGCACATAATACATGAATTACCAAGAACGCTGGCAGACATTCACTCATTTGTATTTTGATTTCTAGGTATTTATGTCTTTTTGTGTGATTTTGTAATTAGCAATTCATGTGACTTCCTTAATTTGTGCAAATTATCATCGGAACTTATCTGATTAAAATTTCTTGTAGGTATAGGTCCCAATGTGTTTTTTTGCAATTTTTTGGATTGTAATTTTTTTTTAATTATAACTATTTATTTTGGTTTTACCTCTCGTTATTATTTTTTTTTGATCATATCTCGTCTGAAATACAAAAAAAATTAAAGAATATACCTACATCAGATTTTAATGATTAGTAGCATAGTTACATATCCTCATCTTATAAATCCAATTATTCAAGGAATAACACATAAGTAGAACACAAGAAAATCATCAACAGTTTAAACACAGTTGTAGTCTTAGCTCCAGAGTGTATACAAACACATAGGTGTATCAATCATGGCTGCCAATGGTTATTTAGACCGAGGAAAACAAATTTCATTTTTCCAGTAACGGGCTAATACCAGTAATATATAGGGTAGGCAGGTAGGAACTATCTTTTAAAAGTTATCTTTGACACAGAATCATGTATTTAACACAGACCAAGTTAGTCATCTTTCCTTTGGGTGGGACATGTCTGAGTTAATAATAATAAAAATAGAGTAATTTGCATCAAATAAAAGTTTTAGTTCCACCGAAAATATGTGTATATTGGGTTATTGGAAACATATTTCTTTTTCTTTTCATGGCCTTAGGTTGAATAGGAGCTGAAACAGTTTCAGTTTGCTTAAACTTATCGGTTAGTTTCTCGCCTTACTTTTTAGATTTATTTTGTAGATCTTGGAACGTCCATTTAAGTTGGTTGCCGTCATCATCAACCCACCATAATGCTGGGTGGCGTCCTCGTCTTTTTCCATTCTGAAGGTCAAGAGAAAAATGAGAACTTGTAAACTAGTTATTGAGCAATCAATTAAATTGAAATATTTTGTGTGCGACTGATTTCAACCACCTTTTAGAGGATCAGTAGAATGTAATAGATCAGTTTTTATCAGATGATAACAAAAAAACTTAAAAAAAACTTGAAAGATAATAAGTGAAATAAAACTATACCTTCTCTCGTTCAGCCCACTCATCTAATACGTCACCGGCAAAGTTAAAATATTCTGGCACATCCAAACGAAAATCTTTTCGACCAAGCTCGTAATCATTAAATCCTGTGGATGAGATGGCCGTGAGGAAGCACCTCTTCTGCTGAATATTACCTGATGATTGGTGTTGCCATGGAAACAATGTCCTTAATGAAAACGCTCCTGGAAGAGGCTGTTGATTTCTGTGACAAGCAGCAGATCGTATGGTATGCACTTTTCTCAAAAACGCACTATTTCGGCAATGTGCGATTTGTAGGTTACTGATTGGCTGATTAGTCCTATTTAAAAATCGAAGCAGTCTTAGTCTATTGGCCATTTTATTTTACAGGACGGTTTCCTCAATGAACATCTCCAGATTTAATTATCAAAAAGATATGTATATTACATATATACATTTCTGCAAGACAAAAGAAACATATAGTATATAAACGATACTATTGATCAAAGCGCAGTGGTCGTCGTGCAGCGCGTGTTCGAATTTCATGTAAATAAACAATGTATTGTACACGCTATGTGTATTCGGTACGAGTCCCATACCGAACAGGACATGTACATTAATGTACAGGACATTAATGTACATGTACCAATCCCTCAATGCCTCCTCCACACCAAACCAATCCTGGGACCTGATAGTGATAGAGGATGTAATCAGAAATTTTATCTGCCATAGCTGGTGTGTGGGTTGGGTTTAGAGATAGAGTAAGGCAGAGGTGGCAGCACGAGATTTTACATGGTGGGGCGTGATCTGCTCACCAACCACGCAACCTTACTAGGGGGTTCGAGGCCGGTGAAGCTCCCCCTTAAAGGGCCGTAGTCATCGCGCCACGCATACACGAGATATATGGGTCTCGTATAAATAAAGATGGCAACTTTGACTTTTGCACAGATCAATGAGTACAAACTAAAACGTTACCGTGCTTTAATTAGGTATTTTTAGGCGATTGGAGGGTATCAGAGGAGTCACTGGCGGTAATTTGTGCAAGTCACGCCCAGGTCAAACCTCATTCTTGTGATTTCCATTAGAAGAGTGCATTGAATTGTGGGAAAATCAATGTTTATCAACACAAATGTCGCCCTTTAAACATTTTGAAATCTAGACCCTCTGAAACGCTATTTACTGCATTTTGAGGGGCAAATATTGCTGACACAAAAGGTTTCAGCTTGATTTTGGAGGGGTGACCCCGATGGGTACACTGGTGAATAACTATGTGATATAATATGGTGCGTGCATGATTGACACATCATTTGCGTCACAAAACTGGACACGTGTAGCTCACCGTAAACGAGATCATCCCTGCTGGATCCAATACACGTAGCCCTTTTTAGCACTTCCAATCTTATTAGACAGCAGCCGGACAGTGCTGGCGTGTGGCGGGAAGACCCTCTAAGCTTCTCAATATTTTTATGCCAAAGTTTGTTTTGCTTCCAAATGCGCATGTTTTTATGTGTTTCCGTATACAATATTTCGAAACAAAATTAGTATATAACATATTAGATACATCGTGTAAAATTCAAAAGCTATGTTTTATTTGTCTGAGGGTTTGTCATTGCTTTTCCTGAAGTCATCTATAGCACGCATATAAGCTGGGGGCTCTTATTATGGCCAGAGGTCACGAAAATTTAATGATTATGTTCCATGTATGTTGCACGCCGTGTACAGATGAGAAGATAAAATTAACCAAAGTTGAGTTAGAGGTTAACTACGGGTTGTCTGTCAAGATGCGCAGCTCTTGAAGGTCACTGGTGAATAGCTGGGCTGGAAAGAAGAGTCATTCAATCTAGGGGTCACCACGCAATCGAGGTCAAATGTTGCACAGGAAAGGGGGTGTGACACTTGTAATTTTGTAATTCTGCTCGCTGTCCCGAGCAAAGCGGTATGGAATGCGATTACACTATCTTTAAGATAAATTCGCTTAGCATTCTTTACGGATCAGATAGTCAGAAAATCGAAATAGATTCTTTTACTGATATTTAATAAAATAATTGTTATTTACTAGTAGGAAGTGGGCCCCGAGAGCTGTCACGTTACTAGTCACGGTGTAGTCAGCTGATCTGCTTCAGGAGGATCTGTTTTCTTGGTGAGTGAATGTAATGTTTGGCTTGTAAATTAGAATGTATTTACTTTGGACATGGGCGCACTACATTTACTAGTATTTTGAATGACACATGGTACTTGTCCTGACACGTCGTGATTGTTGTGTACCATGCGCGTAGTTAGTGGCGGATCCAGCAAAATGTATTGGGGGGGGGGGGGGGCAAACTTCGCTTTAAAATTACGGAGCGTAAATCGCAGAGAAGGGCACAGATCTAGAAGCCGTACCTACA